AACACACCAAAACTGATATTACTGTAAAAACTAAAAGGAAATGTAGGATTATCATAGCTTGATAGAATAATTATAGTTTAGAATCACAATTATGACATTTTTATATTACTTCGTAACTTATGACAGGTTTTAATCTATTTGTATAATATGGAAATTGTATAAAGTTATGAACTTTTACAATTACACAGAATAATAAACTATTAAAAGCCAATACATACATTCAAACACTCGAATAATTCATAAGCTTATTGGCAAATCATGTCAACTTATTGAATTGTGTCAACGCTAATATGTCACGTGAAGAGGCTTTATACCTGATAAAACTCAACTTTATAATCATCTTTATTTGTATTCTTTATATAAAAGTCCATCCTAATTTAAAGTATTGTTTATTGTTTAAGTGACGTTTTTGGACAACACGGACGCCGACCGGAAGTAAAGTTGAAGCTTTTCAAAACACTTTAGTATCTAAAATGCTCGTGCTGCGCACGCATTTTAAACTGATAAAACTTACGCGTGTTTTACTGTCTTTGCAATAGAAGTGTTGATAAAATATTGCAACAATTCATTACCTAACATTGATTAATTCATTTGGTCAAAAATTGCTCAACTTCCTGTTTACTGGCATGCTTGTCCCCAGTTGGTCAATCAGTCACTGAAACGTAAAGCCATTGGTTGATTCAAACGTTCTGTAAAATATTAATATGAGAAACTTAAGTAACGAATAGCCTTCTGCGCAGACGTTGTTAGTGGCCGAGGCCTCACCTAGTAATGAATTGATACGATATTTTATCAACACTTCCATTGCAACGACAGTAAATACACACGTAAAAACGCACAAGTTTAATTGTTACAAGTCTGTTCACAAGCTGTTAACAAGATGTATTCGCACTGCTTGCCACAAGTTGTCAACAGCCAGGTGATCTCGTGTTCGTATCAGCGCTCAGAAAGGGTTGTCCGAATAGAAATCCATTTTGATGTATTCAGTCAATTATATCTTTCGTTATTCTTTATGAAACTAGTTGAAATTTTGTAATTATGTTTGGTTATGAGAACTATAGCTCTGACAAAAATATGGAATCGAAATAAAGTATATTACAGGAGATATTCAGTTGTTTTAATCATAAAATGGATTTCTATTTGACAACTAGTGCCAGTACTTTTCCGCGTATCAAGATCACCTGGAGGTTTGGAACAACTTGTTGACAACTTGTAACAACCTTGTCGAAATTATCAGACTTGTTGCAAGGTTGTTCTGACAAGTCTGACATGCTTGATATAACAGGATTGTTACAACCTTGTGTTGACAACCTTGTAACATCCTTGTTATATCATGGCTGTAACAAACTTGTTAGCACAATCTTGTAACGAGGCTGATAATGCCATCAAGCTTGTTACAAGTTGTTAACAGCTTGTTTCTAACTTGTTACAACAAACTGGGAACAAGCGGTGGGAAGACAACTTGTTGAAAGCTTGTGAACGGATGTGTAACAACTTGTTCGCAGACTTGTTACAACTTGTGCGTTTTTACGTTAGTACACACGTAAAAACGCACAAGTTGTAACAAACCTGCAAAAACATCCTCAACAGGATGTTGTTCGCACTGCTTGTTCCCAGCTTGTTGACAAGTTGTCAACTGCTTGTTGACAACTTGCTACACGGTTGTTGAGTTCAACAGACTTGTTACAAGTTGTTCCAACAACTTGTTATCGTCCTGCAATTCAACAATTTGTCAACAAGTTGTGAGTGATAAGCTTGTAGCAACTTGATAAAACAACAGCATTGTTACAACTTGTTGACAAGCTTGCTCCAAGTCTGTTGCGAACACATCTTGTTGACAAGTTGTGAGATTTTTACGTGAATTGATGTGCGAATCCCAACCCTAATCGGGGTCGTTCCGTTTATCAAAGAACTTTTTCTAAAATTCTGAACATTTTTTGGATTTTCTAAAATTTTTGTAAATAATATAAGATTTCGTTTAATATTTAAATAATTCCTTTCACCAACTTTTCAAAAATTTTGACCAACTTTTCAAAAATTTTGACAAACTTTTCAAAGTTCAGAATTATTGAGCGTCGCACCCCCCAAGACCCAGTCGCCACGCCCCTGCTTAACTCTAATCTAAACTAAACTTAATTCAAAACCTAATAAATCTAACTCTAATCTCTAATCTCTAATCTTATATAAATTAATCCTTATCCTGTTATCCCATGGCATAATCCTCCCGCTCGTCAATAATCGTCAAACTCAACCCTAATTCTGAGTGATGTTATTTTAGGCCAATGTCACCCGCCCCCAGTTCCCTTCATTTCCGTTCTACACTCGATATGGTTCTTTTATGTTAAAAGTACTCGAGTCTGTCAACTTGTATTCGTCTAATTTTCGCTAATTTTTGTACAAAGCAGGCCGAATTCTACTCCTTTTTTACACTTCTTGAAAACCTTGGAACCTATTTTTGTATTCCCCGTAAAATTCTGGCCGTTTGACGCGGTTTTACGACGCGAATTTCGAGACGAGTTTATTTACATTCGGTGGACAGGAGGACTTGAATATGAAGCCATAATGCAACGTTTACATTGTGTTTGTCGTTTGTTTTGTGCTTAACCGTCTCTCTTTGGCACAATGGAGCAAGATGGAGTCCTTTTGGTATGTGTTGGCATTTTGATTAGCTACATTCTGTTAAATAAAAGTGATACAACGCTTTATCTGTGGCTCGATCAAAGTTAATGTGTTTCGACTTTTCTATTTCTGTCTAGAACGACTTCCAACGTAGGGGCAGCCGTGATGCTCGCTCAATGCTACGAATCCCCTCGGATTCCAACATAAAAATATTCAACGATGTAGACGATTTAAAAACAGAAATAAGACGGCAGCTTAAGATAAAGGAAGGAGCAGAGAATTTCAAGAAAGCGACAACCGATAAAAAGAGTTTGACACAATGCAATTCTATCTTGAAAGAGGCGAATTCAAAATTACAAGAACTACATCACCAATTGCAGGATATGAACGCCGGATTAACAGACAACCCTTCAGGTATTAAATATAGTTTCGGGGACACAGATACGAGTCCTTAAAACCCGTTTAATCGCACATTTTGCTGCTATGAATCCCACAGTATGCAAGTACATTTCAACTCGAAGATCCTTGTCAATTTCATTACATTTTGAAACGCTAAATGACTTATATATTTATCCAAGCCACGTTACATAAAAGGCCCGAATTTACACCTTGTTTTGGCATTTAGTGATAAGCTATAAATTCGGAGTTATTTTAGCCTTTTATGATTAATTTATATGCAGATATCGGCCCGTGTTTGTTTTTTTTTAAACGGTGCAAACTTTATTATTTTGAAATATGCATTTAATGTGTTTTGTTAGGCCACAAATTTGATGTCGAAATTTTTAATAGTGCGCCTAATCGTTGCGATCTTATCTTCCTGTGTTTAACTAGTGATATCTTTAAACCTCCCAAAAAGGCTTGGCTATTTGGGGAAGCTTCTCATACAGACGTGTCGAATATAGCTGCAGTTTTGTTTTTGTTATTCCCTGATATTGTACTATCATGTCATTTAAATTTACAATAATTCCTAAATATTGAAATAATGTGTCTGCTAATACAGATTGTTATAATTTCGTATATATTTTGACATGTATAGCATAATTCAAAACTGTTTTACTAAACTTTGTTTCAATTTAATACCAGAGCTGTGTTTATGTTTGCAGAATTGTGGAATTTGTATCATTCCAACTTTGTGTACAAACCATGAATTCTTGCATCACTCAGAAGAAATGATTAGGGTTTAGCATAGTTTTTGTGACCCCAGATTATTATGGAGTTTTCTAGATAATCTACTTAAACTGTACAAATTAACGTTAGGCACAAATTAACCGGCACAGTTTATATAGTAAATTTCCCCCCCAAATCATTCGACCCTCATGTGACTTATCATTGATACTAGACATTGTTGTCACATAGTCACTGTTATTTTGAAAAGTAACTGCCCACACTAAATTTAAATACAAACATGCTGTTTGTGGATTAATTTCAGGCTGGGCAATTGCTCAGCAATTTTGTATATTTGTTACCAATTTATTCAAATCACACCGTGACAAAAATTTGAGTGGGTGGCATAATATTTGGTTGTCATGTAAAACAAAATTAGGCGTTTGCCATTCAGGATTAATATCTACAGCAACTAATTCTTAGGGTATTTAATCTTTTGTTTACTGTGGAATGAAAGTGGCTATGTTTTAGGAGATTAAAACTCGACAGTGCTGAATGTTTTAAAACTACTTTGCAAGCTGTTTTGTTGGTTTTCATATTAAATATGCAAGCAGATCCCTAGTGAGGTCTGTTGTTATATGAACAATTAACAGAATTATGCCATGACTCCCTGCAGACTGTAAATGGTTGTTTTATAATTACATGAGCTAATCAATTAATTATGGAATTAATTCCCTTGCGAGTGTTAGATTTTGCAGCATTCTATGTTCTAAACGTCTTGACTTCCATTGATACTGAGGTCTTTACATAAAGGCTGATTTGCCCCTACACAACTTGTGCTTAATTTTAAAACTGTTGCATGCAACATGAGTTGTATTACCACATGGGAAGCATACAACTTGACTAGGTTGTCGTAGGCAAGTTGTGTGTTTGATTTACACAGTACAACTCAAGTTGTAAGCAGGTTGCATGTGACAGTTTTAGGCAAAAGTTGTGTGGTGTAAATCTGCCTTGATAATGCTATGATATCATTCATACTGACCAAACCGAGCAACCCATGATTAAATCAAACAGTAATACTGCATGTACCTAATTGAATCTGCTCCTATTTATTGTGTCTCCAGACAAAATTATGCATTTTAATTATAATAAATTATATTCAAAAAATAAATTATAAAATTAAATTATATTCATATTATTAGCACTGATGAAGATCCGGGCTTACGGATCGAAAGCTTTGCAGTAATAAATTTACGTGGTGTTTCTACAAACAAAAACAATTATATTTTATCGCCATGCAAACATTCAAAGAACTTAAATTATATTCAGTTAACATGAATTTTGGTTTGCTGATGCAAATTTGAATGGTAAACCATATATGTTTGATATATTAAGCATAGTAATGGCAAATGCCAAAGTGTAATAGTTAGCCAAATTATTGGTTATGTCTGCTTAATGGTTGGACATTTTCTACTTTCTTACCCTAATTTTTTTATTATGTACTATTTAATTAAAACACGAGGAGACAGGTGAGTGTTTTATATCTGGTAATGCATGGACTGCAAGTGTTTTAAATGGCTTAAAAATGACCAATCTTCATGTTCATAGGCAAAGGAGTTTTAAAAATCAATGTTGTCTAAGCCAAGAAAATCAAAGCTAAAGTTTATGTAAATTAACATGATAATGATGTTTTATCAGATAAAAAACCACAGACACGGTGGTGATTTCCTTTGTTATTATTAATGAGTTTCTTAATTAATTTAACAACTTTTCAACCACCTGGCTGCATTCTTCAACTGGTTGTCAGCTGGTATGAAACATTTTCATTCCTATTGTCACGTCAGGTCGGCAATAACTTACCTGATGTGAATTCAGAGCCTTTACATATTTGTATGCTATATTACTACATGGACATTTTATTGAGAACATAAATTGGCTGCTTTTGCTCCAGATTGGCAAAACTTAACCAACTTTATTTTCCACTAATTCCGAGTCTTGTAATTTGCTTTGTGTTCTATTGTCCTATAGAACAAGACGATGCTTTTTCACCAGAGAAATGCCACCATGACCATGAACAAGTAAACAAACATCTAACGACACTAAATAAACAAATGGCTATCGAGCAGAAGGTTCGTCAAGGTGCAGAGAACATGATCCAGATGTATAGCGCATCGAAGGACAAAAAAATGCTTGCGGAAGCACAGCAAATGTTGGACGATTCGAAAGTAAAAATAGACTTCTTGAAAATGGCAATTCTCCGAGACCAACAGCAGCACAATGCAATGGAATGTGAAGAGAATCACTCGAGCAAACCTGTTGCACCTAAACTGTCGAGATTGGAGCACAGAATTGAGGAAGTACGTCACCACATCGAGATTGAATCCCGTGTTATCGATGGTTTGAATAACATGAAGAAGCTGCAGGAAAAGCAAGAGAAGCAGGATAAGAAACAGATGCAGGAGGTACTGGAAATATGTTATGCTTGATATATTTTGTGCAGCGCCACTGCTTTAGACACAAACCATGGCAGCTTCTAGTTGCTGTACCTGTTTTCAATGAGATTTTCCAAGTTAAGACTTTCCACATATCAGTAATAATATCCAGTAAAAAAACTTCAGATTGATAGGGATGCAACTACCTGAAAAATACAAGGAGAACTTCGTCACAGAGGTGTAACTTAACACTTGCCCGGGGCAAGTGAATATCATGATGGGCAAGTAAACGTTTTATCTTGCTTGCCCGATTGAGCAAGTTCCCTTACCACAAAAAACTGGTCATCTTTAAGTTTATGTTTTCATTGTCGGATACATTTTTTATATGTACTTGATTCAAATTTTGTTTTTGTGAGCCAAAGCTAGATCTGAGGCAGTATAACATAGCCATATAGAGAAGTGGGAGAACGGGTCGACATGTTGTCCCCTTAATTTATACCCCCTACCTAGGTACCCCAGTGGCCATTGTCTGATGGCAAGTGAATTTTATTCAGGGCAACAAATTTTCATTTCCAACTTGCCCTGAGCGCAAGTGGTCAAAAAAGTGAAGTTACACCACTGTGTCTTTGTCAGAAAGTTAGTATGAAGGTCCTTGCTCAAAATGTTGAAGTTCTCCTTGTATTTTTCAGGTAGTTGTATCCCTATCAATCTGAAGCTTTCTTATTATTGCCACTACCTACAGTACACAGGCCTTTCAAGATTGTCCAGTGAAAGTGTGAAACACTGCTTAGTCAGACCTAGTTATTTGAATTGTAATCTTTCTGTTTCTAGACTGAAAAGAAGTTACACGAGTCAAGACAGAAACTAGATCTTCTTCAATGTTCACTCGAGAAACGCATGGGTCAGATGTCGCCAAAACAAGCCGCTGTTGGCATCTATCAGGAGAATTATGGCCCCAAGGGTTCCACCGGATCTTTTGGTGGTGATAATTCCTATGCACCCTTACCAAAACCTGCCGCCCTTACTGGCAAATTAATTGTAAGCAATGGTTCGTCTTGTCAATTAGGGTTTATTCCCATAACAACAATGGTTCAATATTGCATGGGTCTTAGTTTATTGAGGTGCTCAGTCTGCTCACTCATTGCCCAATTGATAGGGGTACCTACGATTTTAACGTCCTTATACGAGGAGTCAATGTAAAGGTAGCACTTTCTCCTCAATTATTTTACGACTTTGAGTAGAGGTCTGACCAAGGATTCCGATCAAGGGTGAACAGTTTAGAATTGATAGAGCAATCCAGTATAGTTTAACACACCAATGTGCCCTGCTTTGTTATTTTTACTCTGTCTAATGCCAGACAATTTTGCCCATCAAGGGGAGAGCAGTGGTGGTCAATGGGTTACATTTGGTTTAGCTTTTTGACAGACTTAATTATATGGAATTTATTTATTTGTAGGTTATGTTGCAAGGTGCTGATAATTTACTAGAGTTGGTACCAAACAGAGACCCAAGAAGAGGGTCGGGTTATTCTGTTTTTAGTCCAGAAAATAAATTTAGAATGAGTAAGAAAGCCGGCCCTACAGCCATGGATAATCAATCAAGTATGTTTGGATATGAAATATATGCTTTATACTTTTTTAAATAAATGATCATGTGGTGGTGATGATGGGGTGATTATGGTGATGTGTGGTGTTTATGATGGTCATGGTAGTGGTGATGATGGTGGTGGTTGATGATGGCGATGTGTGGTGTTTTGATGTGGATGATGGTCATACTGGTGGTGATTATGGTGATGATGGCATGGTGGTGGTGATGATGGTGAATATGATGGTGGTGGCATGGTGATGTGTGGTGTTTTGATGGTGATGATCATGGTGGTGATGACGATGGTCATGGTGATGTGTGGTGTTTATGATGGTCATGGTGGTGGTGGTAGTGGTGATGATGGTGATGATGGTGATGGTGGATGATGGTAGTGGTTAGTGGTGATGATGGTGGATGATGGTGATGTATGGTGTTTTGATGTGTATGATGGTCATGCTGGTGGTGATGGTGGTGGTGGTGATGGCATGGTGGTGGTGATGATGATGAAAATGATGGTGGTGGGTGATGGTGATATGTGGTGTTTTGATGATGTGTGTGGTGTTTTGATGGTGATGATCATGGTGGTGATGGTGATATGTGGTGTTTTGATGATGGTGATGATGATGGCTTGGTGGTGATGATGATGTTGGTTATGGTGGTGGTGGTGGTGATGATGGTACTTATTGAGCTAAATTTCTTTTTCAGCTGAGATAAGTGCAGTGTTGACATTAGATAGTATTTATACGAATCAGACAAGTTGGAAACCAGCTGGTAGGGATGCTTGGGAACAAGAATTTAGAGTAGAATTGGAAAGAGTAAGTGATCTATTGTATTCTGTTCTATGTTAGCTGACAGCTACCTTGCGTCTAACAATCTTATTCAACCAGGTTGACGCACTCTCTGGTGCCCTATCTGCTACATGAAATCCATCTTAACCAATGGACAACTTGCATGTTGGACTAAATTTTAATCTAAGTAAAGAGAAGGGAATCAAACACCACAGCTAAAAAGAACGTAATGAAATTAGTGAAATTAGTAAAATTGCAAAATTTGGTTGCAAAATGTTATAAAGCTTGGAAAATATAGCCTTGCAAAGTTTGCAAATTTTGTATATGTTTGTATTACGTGCGGAAGTTATTACCATTTTCGGCTGAAAAATGGTAACAATTTCCGCACGTAATACAAACATATACAAAATATACAAACTTCGCAAGGCTATATTTTCCCTACTTTACAACATTTCGCAACCAAATTTTGCAATTTTACTAATTTTAATATGTTTTTTAAGGGAGTATACTCTTTTTTTGTCTAGATAAAAAATTAGTCTGACATGCAAGTTATCTATTGTTAACACAGTCTGTTTCCTTGCAGTCTCGTGAACTGGAAATTGCAGTGTATTGGCGGGACTATAGGGCCATGTGTGGCGTGCTGTTTCTACGACTGGAGGAATTTCTTGATAACAAAACTCATAGCATTGCTGTACCGTTGGAACCACAGGGAGAAATTGTTGGCACAGTAAGTAGAGAACGTTAGATTTGACTGCGTGTACGATTATGAGTACAAGATTCGTAATTCGTGGCCTAGCCATGATTTGCTCTGACCCACCCTATCAACTTTCCCTGTGGGCGGAAGCTGCAGTACCCGGAGAAAACACACAACTTTCGATAGAGTGTTGGCCTTTTCACATGAATCGCGTGTTGAATGCGGAACCAAATCGATCCTACACTCTCTGAGGTAGCCCGCAGGCGTTTTGGGTGGGGCTTGGCTATATTCAGCCACCCCCGCGCGTTTCAAACAAAACTCCTGTTTTGCAGGCCAAGTGAAATTAAGAGGCTTGCTCAGATGACTACACCACGGAAGCGCCCTAATGGATGATTATAGACTAAATTTTGATCTATAGGCAAGAAAAGAACGAAATCCATCACCACAGCTAGAAAGAGCATGTTACAATTAGTGAAATTGCAAAGTTTGGTTTGTGAAATGATGTAAAATGCGGAAAATATAGCCCTGCGAAATTTGCAAATTTTCTATTAATTTCTATTGCGCACGGGAAAATGCACCACTTTCGGCCCAAATGTGGTGCATTCTCCCGCGCGTAATATTTTCCTCATTTTACAACATTTCGCGGCCAAACTTTGCAATTTTACTAATTTTAAGATGCTCTTTCTAGCTGTGGTGATATGGACTTCGTTCTTCTTGCCTAGATCAAAATTAAGTCTATGGCTGGAATTGCCTATTACGACTACTAGTGTGAGCTAACTAGCAAGCGAGTCAGACGTCAGCTTCGTACATTGCATCCAAGTTGATATACGATGGTTTCTTGGCAAATATTGCGGACTTCGAATTCCGCCGTGTAACCGCAAAGTAATCTTTTGCTAGTTGTTTAATAAAAAAAATCACTCGTAGAGAGCCGACCTGATTTCAAAACAATTATTGGTTTGTCATATTAAATTCATTTATGCATGCGGAACTTTTGCAACATGCCGCTTTTTGTTTCTTTATTAGAAGACAATCAAATTTCGTCTTAATTTTATCGCTTTGTGATGCAAATTTGCTTAAGTTGAGATTGCGCACTCGCATGGAATAATATAAACAGATTAAGACTCAATTATCACAATCGTTGAAACACTAATAACGATATTATCTGATAGCGTTGACAAAACTGTCTTTATTTTGTTTTACTGAGAATAATTTATATTTCTAGAGCCGAAGATCTATATATAAAATAGACCTTATACATGACATGTTTTTAAGATCTTACATATATTTGAGAATTACCGTAAATATATTACAAAGCATCAATTTTTAAGTCTATATAAGTTAACTTTTAATAGCAATCTTCACTACACAGTAGGCTACGAAATTCTCGACGAAGCGATTTATATTCTGTTCGTATTCTGCTCCTATATAAAGGCTGGAGTAGGAATTTTTGCATAGGTATAAATTCTATCAGTTTTGAAGGATTTGTAAGAAATATTTGGCTGATTCAGTGTTTAATACTAACACCCGCATTCTAATAGCTCACTCGCACTCAAAGAGTGAAGGTTCAATCTGAGCTTCCTTTGAGTGTCAATGCTGTTTTTGAATAGCTAGAGGGTTAGTCTCATACCTTACTATGTGACTACTCACCCTTCAGCTATTCAAAAACAGCAATGACACTCAAGAGAAGCTCAGATTGAACCTCCACTCTTTGAGTGCGAGTGAACTTTTAGAATACAGGCGTAAGTCAGTTACCTCAAACATTTCTTACAAATACTGTGATCACTGAAACTTTGATGGTGTAACCAGTTTTAAAAATTGCTGCTATATTACATCGAATCATTATTATATATAAAGCATAAAGCATAGACTATAGCATTGCACCTGTTACAATTTAATTTGTCGTGGAAGTTCGCGGCTAGCTTAAATATCAATTTATTATTTAAACTTTCAAAGTGTCGTATGACTCTACGATAATAAATCAATCACTATATTACCCATCTCCTAACACAACGCGTAAACTTGTGTTACTCTATCTGTGACTTTTTGAAGAATTTCATTGCTAGTTCAAGTTTGTTTTTTTCGTAGTTTTTTTTCTCGAAACACGCGCGTGCACAGGTGGTTTTATTATCAAGATCAGAAGATGAGACAGTTCACATTAATTATTTAAAACGAATCTTTTCTTTGAGTTTCTGTTTAGCGGCTTACAAATCTGTCATAAACTTTATTTAGCCTAACAAAATTTTGCCACAACCTTTGGGCTTTCGTGCTTCGAATTTAGTCGAGTGGGAAACTTTTTTATGGTGTGCTCATGTGGATCTTTACAGATAGCTTTGTATAAGTGAATTATATACATATGGACGCTGAAGCCTATAGTTAATTTGTATACGAACTACAAAGCTGTTATGTCTGTAAATGCATTGAACTGTGCCGTTATGGTTTCTTGTTACGGGCTTGAAATTTTTAACCGTATTTCGTTCGCTACACTTGGGCACACTTGGCTGTAATGTTGAAAATTTGTCGACTTCTGTTGTGGTTTTGGAATGGAAAAACGTTTGAAAGAAAGCGTTAAATCCGAAGCAAATTGTGTAGTTAATTCTTTGATGAGTGAAGACATCGCAATACAGCGAAACGGTGAAGTTACTAGTTCTAATTTTAAACTCGATTCCCGCGACGAGAATGGAAGAAAGGCGAATGGGATAATGGTTTCCGGAGGGAATGATAAACACGGGAAAACAGTTCAAAACAAACAAGCTCGGTCAGATTTGGGGAAAGAATTAGTTCCCACAAATAGCTCAAGAGAGGTCCGAGGGAGAAGTAAATTACCTCCCTTCCGAGTGGGCCGGTATGTTCCTTCAGATGGATATTTATATAGCTCGTCGAACTTTGGGATTACTGATGAAGCGTGTTGTGGAAACGGCAAAGATGTCGAATTTAAGAGTGGATTACATAGAGCTAAGATTGATAGATTTGAAACGCAAGGGAAAGACACGAGAATGCAATCGGCAAGTTTCCATGGTCTTGAGACCAAACGAACTCGGCCTAAGTTAAGAACGCGATGCCGAAGCACTGACTGCGGTAGAGTAACTGGACAAGATGCCATTAGGTTGAATAATAAGATATCTAATTGCGGTTGTATGAGGGAGTTGGGGAATGCGACGAAATCGCGAGTAAAATGCTATAGTGCTGACCTTAGTACGTTGTCTATTCAGGATGAGTTAAACTGTCATAAGATTGGGAGTGCGGCTTCAAAGAACAGACCAAATAAACAGTTTTATGTAAATATAGAAGCTGACAATGAACTCTCTGACCAAACGTTGACGGGGGTCGATGAAGCAGAATTGTCTAATTCCAGTGTTACTCTCAATACGTCTCATTCTCAAGATGCAGGGGTTTCATTACGGAAAGATATGCCTAATGAAAAAGTTTCATCCCAAAGAAGAGAAAAAGTTACTAATGGTGAAGGAATTGAATCAGGTTTTAGAATGAGCGATTTCTCTACAAATAGTACCTTAGATTCCAAGAAAAGGAACTGTTTGGAAAAAACTTTGTCTAGCACAGAAAATTCACCAACTAGGAAAGGGAAAAAGAAAGAAAATAAACACGAATTTGGTTCGTGTTTGAGTAAGCAGGATTCCAAAGATAAGGCTTCGTCGAGGAAAGATAAGTTTAATGCAAAATCTTCACCAAAACGGAATATAAAAAGCGTTGAAAAATCGGATTCTAAGTCAGATTCGTTGCAAAAAACTAGAGAAGGAAAAAAAACTAATGAAACAGATTCAAATGTAAATAATCCCATCGTCAGAAGAAATGTAAGTAACACTAATGAGTTGGATAAATCAGGAACAGAAACTTGTAAGGTGGAAACTTCTTCTCGGAGAAATAGTACGAAAAACGAAGATGTCAGCGTTTCGCCAAGCAGAAATGAGCAAAACGGTCCGAAGAAAGATTCAACAGGAAAAAGCAAGTCTTCTTCCAAAGCATCGCCTCAGAAGAATGGCAAGAAAAAAGTAAATGCTAATGTGAGTCATTCTCCAAGCAGAAACGTGCGAAACAATACTGATAAAGCTGAAAATATGTGTAGTAAACCAGCTTCTTCGGAGAAAGTGGATGTTAGGAACTTTAGCAAGGTATGTGGTGATATAAGCCAAGTAGAGTCAACTCAAATATGCACAGAAATTAAATCAGATCAAGTTATGAAAACTGATGATTGTAAAACACAAGAAAAAGAAAATGCAGATGAAAATAAAAGCAACAAAGTTGAAGTGGGTGTTGAAAATGAAGTAGAAAACACGAGCGGGTCAGTGTTTGGATGTGTAAATATGAAAGCAAATGGTTCCGATGATATTGGGAATCATAGCGTATCTTCTAGCCAGTCTAGTGAAGCGCTCATGACAGTGATTCATAATCAAACTTCTAGCAATTCTGATGAGACACTCACAGTGATTCATAATCAAACTTCTAGCAATTCTGATGAGGCACTCACAGTGATTCACAATCAAACCTCCAGCAGATCTGATGAAGATATCAAGACTTGTGGTACTAAGGATATTAGTAACGATAGATTATGGGGAAATGTAAAGTTACGAAGAAATTATAGAACTAACGTTACCAAGAGGCCAAACAGTGAAAACAGGTCTGCAGAAAATGATCAACGCTCGTACGTGAATCCAAATCTCTCCGAGAAAGATGGACGGTCAAGCTTGAATAAAAATCCTTCAGAGACAGGTCAAGTGCCTAACTTGAATAAAAATCCTTCAGAGACAGGTCAAGTGCCAAACATGAATAAAAATCCTGAAGGGAAACGATATTCTTCAGGACGAAGACTTAGCGGAGGTGTTAAATATCAGTACGAGAAAAAAACTGTTGATGAAAAAAGTACAGAGTCGAGCAGAAAGCGAGCTTTTGAGAGACGGGAGAGCTATTCCAAACAACTGCGAGAGAAGAACATGCGAAATGCTGAACTGAAAAAGAAGGTGGGAATAGTTAATAAACGAAATGGAGTAAGACTTCAAGAAGACTCCGCCATTACTGTGAAGATAAAACATGTGAAATCGAGACGATTGCTCAGGCGTAATGTCGATTACGTAAAACGAGAACAAAAGGTCCATTTCTCGGAGGAACACGGCCATGACAGTTGGGTGTTGTTTACTGTGACTTTGAATTCCTCCCTTCTGGGTCATGCGTCTCACGAAGGGTTAGACTTACCCGATGGTCGGAACTCGCCAGAGTTTTGTAGGTCTAGTCAAACATTGCTTTGCTGTGTGCTACCGAAGTGTGGGAATGTTATTCCTAAAGTGAAGAATGTTCTGGTTAGAAGTCCGAAATCTAATCTTAAAAGGCTTTCCTTATTGCCTGTGAAGAAATTGAGATGGTCCCTGTTTGATGGCATGGTAATGTTCTTCGTATGTTGTGGTTGTAGAGTTGTTAGTTAAAGGCGCAGTTTAGCCTTTTGAGTGATGGTTTTTAAGGCGCATTACAACCATTTTAATAGGCAATTTGCATGTTTGATTTGACTAATTTTTGATCCAGGCAAAAAAAGTAAATTTCCGAAAAGAACTTATTAAAATTAGTAGAATTGCAAAATTTGGTTACGAAATGTTGTAAAATACGGTAAATAGAGCCTTGCGAAGTTTGCATATTTTGTATATATGTTTGTATTACGTGCGGAAATTGTTGAGCCGAAAATGGTAACAATTTCCGCAGGTAATACAAACACATACAAACTTTGCAAACTTTGCAAGACTATATTTTCCAAGCTTTACAACATTTCGCAACCAAATTTTGCAATTTTACTAAATTATGTTATTTTTAGCTGTGGTGTTTTATTCCCTTCTCTTTACTTAGATTAAAATTTAGTCCAGGAAAATCAATTAAGCATAATTCAAGATTCAGTGAACTCAATGTTTTTAACATTAAAAATGTTAAAAAATGTGAAAAACATTGAAATCACTAATTTTGAATTATGCTTAATTGATTTTATTTTCCTAGTTAGTTTAGGCCTCCAGTATATTTAGATAGTATTCTACAATAAGTTGTCATGGTTTGTGTCTGAACTACCTGAAAAAGATACTGCCTAAAACATGGGCAGATAGTATTCTTTAACAAACTAATGGCCAAAGGCACAAACTAGAACGACCTGTAAGTAACGTGATAGTTAGGTAGTTGTTGTTTTGCTGTTACAAGTTGCATGTACTTGGTAACAAATCTGAGCCTATATCTTATATATCAATCCCCTTAGTATTTGAAATAAGCTTTTAGACCAACAATTAATTAATGTACATATACCACATACATTTCAGCAGGTACATGTGGTCTAATGAAATATTAATGCCAAAACAAGATACGTTGTTCCTTTGCTTCTATATTAATCTTTATATACTAGATATTAGCAGTATAGAAAAAGTGTAGTTTTATATGCGAGGACTGTGAGAGGATGCGTGAGAGTTTTGTGATGTTTTTGTTTCCTTTCCGCTCCCTGGAACAGGTTGGATATTTATACACATTAAACGTTTTTATACCTTGTCGTTCGGACAGAGGTCCTCTATGCGTTTCATTTATGAGATTGTAAGCTCGGGTCGTCGTTCGTGGAATCCACTGCTAATTCTTCAGTTTGCATGCGTATAAAGCCTCATCAGGATCAAGTTGTAGAAGGAATGAATAAAAAGACATCTTGTTCTTTGCTTTAGGTCACATTCGTCAATCCAATGGTCAGCAGAAAACCAAAACTACAGAGACAGAGAAAGCTCTTTAAGATCAATCGAGGTATGTTTCATATTAAATGTTGTCGTCGATAGAAACAAACTTGTCTGAGCTGTTTATAAATATTGTTTATAAAACACAGTATCAACTTTCATAATTCACAGATGTTCTAGATGTTATATGATGCTTTGTTTATTTTATATATATACGAAATATCTTGATGCAACTTGCAAAGCCTCCATCCCTTTCGGATGCCATCATCAGTTATTTGGATTTTCTTTTATACAGGGCATTCGGCTTCCTCTTTTCTACAGTATGTCCGTTATGTCTCTGGCTAGCTCTTCTTCATCTCTTCTTATTACGTGGCCATACCATCTCAGCCTTGCTTCCCTCATCTTCTCAGCAATGTCTATAATCCCACATCTCTGATCACTTCATTCCATAATGTGTCTGACAGGTTCTCCTTCATCTCTTCTTATTACGTGGTCACATACCATCTCAACATTGCTTTCCTCATCTTCTCAGCAATGCCTATCATCCCACATCTCTGATCACTTTATTCCATAATGTGTCTGACAGGCTCTCCTTCATCTCTTCTTATTACGTGGTCATACCATCTCAACATTGCTTCCCTCATCTTCTCAGCAATGCCTATCATCCCACATCTCTGATCACTTCATTCCATAATGTGTCTGACAGGTTCTCCTTCATCTCTTCTTATTACGTGGCCATACCATCTCAACATTGCTTCCCTCATCTTCTCTGCAATGTCTGTGGTCCCACATCTCTGATCACTTCATTCCATAATGTGTCTGACAGGTTCTCCTTCATCTCTTCTTATTACGTGGTCACATACCATCTCAACATTTTTTTCCTCATCTTCTCAGCAATGCCTATCATCCCACATCTCTGATCACTTCATTCCATAATGTGTCTGACAGGCTCTCCTTCATCTCTTCTTATTACGTGGTCACATACCATCTCAACATTTTTTTCCTCATCTTCTCAGCAATGCCTATCATCCCACATCTCTGATCACTTCATTCCATAATGTGTATCTCAGCCTTGCTTCCCTCGCCTTCTCAGCAATGCCTATCATCCCACATCTCTGATCACTTCATTCCATAATGTGTCTGACTAGCTCTCCTTCATCTCTTCTTATTACGTGGCCACATACCATCTCAACATTGCTTTCCTCATCTTCTCAGCAATGCCTATCATCCCACATCTCTGATCACTTCATTCCATAATGTGTATCTCAGCCTTGCTTCCCTCACCTTCTCAGCAATTTGTAGCACCCCACATCTTCTGATCTCTTCATTCCATAAGGCTAGTTTACACTATCAAAGTTTCTGTGATCACAGTAGGAATTTTACATGGGTAAATTCTAAGTTTTGAAGGATTTGTAAGAAATATTTGAGGGAACTGACTTGGTGTTTAGCACTCTGTGTTTGAGTCATTTCCCTCAAACATTTCCTACAAATCCTTCAAAATTTACCGATGCAAAATTCCTACTGTGATCACTGAAACCTTGTCTACAATATCGTCACCTTAATCTCTTTTTTCGTGTCCACCCCATCCCAGTCTTACCAGATAACATCGATGTGTCTCTGAAATTTCGTTGCAGACTGATGTAAATATTACTTCATGTAATCATTAGTTGCGCCTTTCAAAGTAAAATAATTATTTGCAGGCCTGTTATACTACTGTATGTAGACATTGTCTTGCGTAACGAATGAAGCATATCGTATTTCTTACGTACTGTGTTATTATTCGTAATGTGTTTATTTTTTTCAGGTAAAAACTTCCTGCGGGCAGGACAGATGAACACAAACGTCGTAACATGGGCAAGATTATTGAAGAGAGCAACACCACAGAACTGTCAGACTACCACAACCACGCTCAGTCCTGGCACGTCTGGAACATATTCTGTCATATCCAAGTAAGTTGAAGTCATATTTCAAACTTGGGGCTCCAGTGTACGTATAATGTTGGCTGTTCCCCATGTGTTAAGCTGCCGTGGTTTGTGTCTGAACTACCTGAAACAATATCTGCAGTCGGTCCAGTGTAGGTAGCTCAAAGTAGTCCCACTCTGTGAAATTGGTTGATGTTAACCGGGTCAATACTGATCAAGACATTTGTTCGGACGACCAACATTTCTTACTAAATTTTGGACGTTTTTGAATTGCTGTATCTTGATCAATATTGACCTGATTAACATCAAACTTTGGGATTTTGTAAAGGTCAATGTGCTCTTTCTTACTGTGTGGGTGTTGTATTGATTATCACAATATTTAGGGACTCGTTAAGAACGTAATTATTCCATTTTCAGCGCACATCCTACAGCTATGGCCTCACCACCTTATCCAAAATCTACTGATGATCTTTTCAACGATCGCCACAAATCGCCCTCGCCACCCGGGGATATGCAGGAGAGATCCAAAACCATGCCTCATAAAAAGGCCGTCGCTCATACGCCGAGAAAAACGGCTGAACAGGTTGGCGCCATTTTCACTATACTAAGTTTGTTAATACTATATATAGCTCTGTCAGTTCTAAACTGCTCTGTCTGTGTAGTGGTCCAGTAAGGATCATCTCTTATTGGTTCAGTGTCATTACATGAGGAGACCGGTGTATCCGGAGAACAACTGTAGTGTTTGGTGAAGTCAAACTGAAGCGCCCTTCTAGCCATTTTGCTGGCGATATTTTTTCTCCTGGTGAGTGTGATTGAATGACTAACATGCAAAAGACTAAAGGCAAAGTTTTCGTGGTCACAGTAGGAATTTTGCATCAGTAAATTCTAACTTGAATGATTTGTGAGAGATGTTTGAGGGAACTTAAAATTCCTACTGTGATCACAGAAACTTTTTAAAATAGTGTAAACTAGCCTTTAGAAATGTATACTTCCGAAACGCAATTCTGTACATTTGCGTGCGAGTTCACTCATTCTCATACGCCAGAAAGAGAAAATCGCGGGCAAAATCGCTAGTGTTGAACCGGACTTAACTGAGATGAAATTTAAACCTCGATCACACACGTGACATGCACAAAGTTGAAAATGTATTTTTTATCAGGACGCTCTCTCGGCGTTTGGGTTCTTGGGTAACCAGTACCGCGGTACGCCAGAATCACCGACAATATTACCACGAAGGCCTGAAAGGTAGGTCAAGTTGTTGGTTACTTCGCCTACAGTAGTTTGATAGAGTTCACAAAACCATATGGTATTGTGACGATAGTATAAGTAACCCACAACTGCTCCACATGCAGCAATAATCACTAATTCGGATGAAAAGTTGAAAACATATGCCTAGTAACACGTTTGCCTTGTTAATAACTTGTTATACAATTAACCTTGTATTCCATTAGTTATAACTGCCCAATTAACCTACTAACATCTGTAACTTGCAGTAATAATGGCGAGAATAAGCCCCTCTCGGCAGAAATTATCACTAACGTCAATCCGCGAGTGTTTCCTTCTGTTCCAGAAGAACGAAGGTAAAAATAGTGTCTGTTTCATTAATGGATTTACTGGTCATATTAATAGGTGATTCTAGGTATAGACTAAATTTTGATCTGGACAAGAAGAACAAAATCCATCACCACAGCTAGAAAGAGCATGTTACAATTGGTAAAATTGCAAAGTTTGGTTGCGAAATGTTGTAAAATGCGGAAAATATAGCCCTGCGAAATTTGAAAATTTTGTTTAAATTTGTATTACGCGCGGGAAAATGCACCACATTTGGCCCGAAAGTGGTGCATTTTCCCGCGTGCGTACAAATTAATACAAAAGTTGCAAATTTCGTAGGGCTATATTTTCCGCATTTTACAACATTTCGCAACCAAACTTTGCAATTTTACTAATTTTAACATGCTCCTTCGAGCTATGGTGATGGATTTTGTTCGTCTTGCCGAGATCAAAATTTAGTGTATAGCTGCAATCATCTATATTACCAGGCACTAATGAGTCTCTAACTAACTTCTCTAACAGTGTCAACACAAATAACCAAGATATGTACCAGAGATCAATCTCATCGCCTGCTGCCAATAGTCAGTTGATCAGGTAGACGCCATCTTAGAACTAATGATGTATTTATTAATTGCCAACCTAGGCTTTATATCCGTTACAACGCGGACACGAATGTTGTAAATGGCTTGTGAAACGTCTTGATGAGAACATTCGTGTTTTTCAACAATTTAAAATAAATTAATGATATTTTCTGAGAAAATTGAACTTAAAGTCTATGTAAATCAACATGATTTTGTATCAGATATACAAACTCCTTCACGCTCATGATTTCTTTTGTGTTTTCTTCATGAATTATTTTAATGAGTTTCACAAGACTTTTTTTTTCATTCTTCTCTAATACTAATCCCCACTTCTTGCTTTGACACGCTGTAAACAGCATGATGATATCATCCATTTGCCCCGTTTAATAAAACTAATAGAGAGGTTAAACTGGTTAAGATACCCCGGTTTCGATGTACGGGTACGAGTAGCATGATTTTGGTTAGCAATATTTTCGTCGATGTCTGTACCTTTACTCGTAATTAAGGTGCACATTTTTCGCATTATATCATTGTCTATTGAAAAAACCCCAGAAAAAGTATGATCGAATTACAGACATCAGTAAAACAAGATGACACTACTCGTACCGGTACACCGAAACCGGGGTATCTTAACCTCTCTAATAAAGACTGAGTCGTACACCGTCCTCATCCTTCGAAAACAAACCCATAAGAATATTGTCCTTTCTCAGACCTGGAAGAACAACATCACCAGTGTCTTCCACGATGAGCATGAAGAACTTCAGGACTGTCAGCGTGTTGGGACGAGGACATTTTGGAAAGGTATAAGTTTTGGGAAATTCTCGTTGGATAATCTGTCGCTGTCGCAAAACATTGTATTGTCTTTAGGACGATTTGCACTCCACAACTTTTGCCTAAAACTGTCGCATGCAACCTGCTTACAACTCGAGTTGCACTGTGTAAATCAAACACACAACTCGCCTGCAACAACGTAGACGAGTTGTGTGCTTGATTTACACAGTACTACTCAAGTTGTAAGCAGGTTAAAACTGTCTGTACCAGTGCAGGTAGTACCAATGTGAAAATGCTGTGCCGAGTGGTTATATTACTACCTGAAATAAACAAGCAGAAACTCGACGTTTCGAGCGAAAGCCCTGTATTTTCCCCGATCCCTGCTACTAACTCTTGACGAAGGGCCTTCGCTCGAAACGTCGAGTTTCTGCTTGTTTATTTCAGGTAGTAACAACTCAGCACAGCATTTTGTAAGCAGGTTACATGCGACAGTTTAGGTAAAAGTTCTCTAGTGCAAATAGACCTTTTAACCCTTACACAAGTATTCATATATCATCCATTGTACGCCCACGTTTGTGATATTTTGTCACGGCATTTTTCGTTTAGGTCATCTTGGCGGAATATAAAAACACTCGAGAATTATTCGCAATAAAAGCTTTGAAAAAATCCGACATTATATCAAGAGATGAAGTCGAAAGGTAGGTCATTAATATTTTTGGTTCTGAACTATTTCTTGTTCGAGTAATACCGTCACGCGACAGAATAAGACCATGTATACCCTGTAAAGTCTGATATGACCGTTGTTCTTTTATTTTACGTAGTTTACAATCGGAGAAAAGAATATTTCTGGCTGCAAATAAAACTAGGCATCCCTTCCTCGTCAACCTGTTTGCTTGCTATCAAACCAAGGTAAACTACGCCGATATCGTTTGTTTTTTTCATTTCGTGTGAATATTCCATTCTTCCCCAACACGCTTGTGTTTGAACAATTCAGCGTGAACTGACGTTGAATGTGTTTTGTGAATTTAGCTAGCCTGGATGTCTGACTGCACACGTAAAAACGCGCAAG